CTTAAAGGGAAAATAGTGCAGATCATTTCTTTTTACTGAAATTCAAGCTATAATTGAATACAGCTAAAATCTTATGGAATAGGTGTCTGGATATATTGTCCTTTTCCAATTTTATAGATGGTTTCCCTCATACACATAGGAATTCCATCAATATATTTTTCTCTGCCATAGAGGTCAGAGTTTTGTAGGCCTTTGGGGAATAGATAAAATGCCTAAATGTCAGCTCAACAAAAGAACCATGTTACCACACTGGAACACCATGTTCTTGATACTTGGCAGACTTTGGGAACATCCCAAACCATGTGTATTTTGGAGAATGCAGATAGGTCACAAAATTAAATCAGTCTGGTTTAGCCAAACACCCTCAACCTAGTTCTAGGTTTCAAATAATTGACAACCTTCTCCTCCCCCAGTCACATTTATTACAGTCAATTCAAAATAGTTTTAATTGGATTCAGATAAAACTCTCCCACTTTTTTTTTGCTTTCACAAATATAACTGACAGGAACAAACAAAAAGAGTTCTATCTGTAAAGAGCAATGTGGTAATAAGACTTTGGACCTTAAAGTGTACAGAAGACTAATGAGGCAATATCTAAAATGTGTTTGAGATACATGAGTGAAAAGGTTCTATCAAGATAGAAAACAGGATAAACAATGAAAGAAATCCTTGTGTCAGGAAATATGTCTTTTTCAGAACAAAATTATTAAGTAATAGTTAACGAATACGCATATGTTAATCTTCTCTGTCATCTCCAGCCCAGGTAGACTGAAAAGTATTTGTAATTGTTCCCATAATAACAAATAAGAATACCAGCTTCTGCTGAAAGATTTCCCAAAAAAATTCCAACACAAAACCATGAATGTTAGGTAATGTCTTTGTATTAAGCCAAGTTTCCAACTTCAAGTTCAGCTCTTGGTCAATTTTATTATCAAAGTGAAAGCACAAGTCCTGGCCCCTCCAACTTTCCACTCTATTCAAACCAAATGCATCCCTGTGGGATTCCATTGCTATCATAAATTGATGAAAATTGCAAAGCACACCCTCTTTGGGTTCCTGAAACATCAAAGTACACTCAACAGATAATGTCAACAGTGACCATATAATGGACTTCAGTAATTGAAGAGCTCAAATCAATTACCTACAAGATTTAATTTGCTTCTTCATTTAAAAGTTCATAAAACTCATTTCTTCCCATGGCATCTCTTTTCCCTAACAACTATAAGTAATTACACTAATTTATTTTCATGATTCCTATAAAATAATGAATGGGTGATGAAGTTTAGGAAAGAATTTTCCAATGGAATATTAGTATGTGTCCTTCTCGCAAATTCTTATAAACCAATAATTCTCCCATTTGTTTAAATCATTAGGATTTCATTTTTCAGACCCTTACTTGACAACAAACCACCACCTTTTTTGAACTCACTCAATTTTAAACATTTTCTAGTACAATCAAGTAACAAAATTTCTATCAGGGAAATCACAAAATCTAAGAGGTGGGAAGAGCTTTTATATATTATCTCATTTAACCCTTGCTTATATACAGGTGAATTTTGTTAACAGATATTAAGAGTGGGCCATGTTTGGCCTTTTGAGATATGTATAAAGTGATGACAACTCCCTTACCTCAAAGGGGGTTATGGTGCAGTAACAAGATGCCCACATGATTCCCTTAGCAATCACTTGAGGAAAAAGTACAATTATAAAAATGAAGGTTCTCAAGCTCCACCTCAGACTTACTGATTCAGAAACTTTAGGAATGGGATTCAGGAATGTGTATTTACCATAGAAAAGCACCTCGGGCTATCACTTTACACAGTAACGTTTGAGAACCACTGCTCTGGTAGGTATGAGAAATGTGCACAAAATATCAGTCAGAAAAATGTCAAATAGGGGGCTTGTCTTTTAGGGACATGAAAAGGAAAAGAAAGGGAAGGGAATAAGGAAAAGAAAGGGAATTGGGAAAGGAAAAGAAAGGAAAGGAAAATAAAAGAAAAAATTGATTAGCATCTTCCCTTACTAAAGCCATATATTTATCAGCAAAGAAGTCATTTTTTAGCCTAAACATTCTTGTAAATTATACTCACCACTATGTTGGATTGTGATCTATTGATTTATAATAAAAATACTTAGCACAGAAACCCAAAATCTCTAGTGATCTACCATTCTCTACATTTAGTTTCATTTAGCTCATGAACCACAGATGTGAGTCCATTTTCTTCCAATGACAGTGTCCATAAGAAATTGTAATTTCCTTTTTTCATGTTCTCTTCAATGAGGAAAAAAATAATTTGCAAAAAAAAAAAAAAGATTGTAATTTCCAAAATTTCTTCTAGTGACAGAAATACAAAAAACTGGTTGTTAAGGCTTGTATCTAGATGTCTCCCCAAGTCTCATACTGTCAGAGGTGGAGCTTTGCAGAGGTGGCTGGATCTAGGCTAGGTTATGCTGGGATCAAGGATGCAATGCTAGGATTAAGGGTGTGAGTTCTACCTGCCTTAAGGATGGGTAGTCTGGATAAGATATAAAGAACAAAAAGAAGCTTGTCACTGGTTACTTGTGGCTTATAATTTGCTGCCTTCTGCCTGCCATTAAGTGTTTCTCCTCTGCAATGCCCCTCTGCCATGCCTCTCTGCCTTGGAGCCAGCCAACTGTGAAATGAAATTGCCACAAACTGTGAGCTAGATAAACCTTTCCTCCTTTAACTTTTGGTGCTGTGTATTTTGTCTCAGCAATGAGCAAAGTATATAAGACACTAGTTAACAGGAAGAAAAGTTTAATTGAGCTAGACTTTAAGTATGTAGGGTCTGAGATTAGTCGGGACATAGAAATTCTACATAAGACCAAAAATTTGCATTCAGAGAAATCACCTGGAGAGTGCCTATCAAAGCAAAGCGTAGAAAGGTTTGACTTCATAGAAATAAAGTGGATAACCAAATTTTTTAACAACCACCCTAGCTAGCTAATTCTAATGTGAATGGCTTTGAGAAAACATTTGGGTGCCGTGATTACAAGACTTCAAACTCTTACTTGTCTTTCTTTGAGTCTAAATCAATATATTAAACATAGTAGTGCATATTTCATTAAAGTAAGCACATAAAGTGGAATAAATAGGGAAATTAGGTTCACTTAATTAGAGCCTAGATTAGGAAAATCAAAGCTGAGGATGGGCTGGGGATTTAGCTCAGTGGTTCTGCTGCCTGCCTCGCAAGCACAAGTTCCTAAGTTTGATTCCTGGTACCAAAAAAAAAGAAAAAAAGAAGCTGAGGAATGTTGTTTGTATCATGAGTTACTATCATCCAGAACTTGGAGCCACAAAGCAATAAAAAAGTAGCTCTATGAAAGCTTTGCTTTTATTTCTTTGAGAGTATATAGAAAACATTGAAGTTATCTACTTTTAAAATATTAAATATGATGAAAAGTGTGTGCATGTGTGTGCATAAACGTGTAATAAAGATGATGGATGATTAAGGGTAGGAATTACTTTCTGGCCAATGGTAATAATCAGAAAAATATAATTCTGAGGATCATACAAAATAAAACCTATCTATCCTTGGCTTAAGCATCCCCACTCCTGATGTTAGGACTGTAATTTCCTGATTCTCTCAACAAACATGAACTAACTAAATAAATAAATAAAAGAACTGTAGACAAACTGAACATGTATAGCATTGTCTAATTACTAAAATTCCCAGAGAACTGAGATAGTCTCATCATCATGTACTTTAGAGAAACCAGAACATGCCTAGGTTCTAGGGATGTATACTTCCTGAGTCATGTATTATAAAAAACATGCTATCTCTCAGCCCATTAACCTGTAAACGGTGCTCTGGCGTATTACACACTTACTGACTTGGTGACTTTAAACAAGGTATGCAAAATCGGTACCCAGATAAATCTTGTTAAACCCAGACTCCAGAGACCAAGAGATCTCTGAAACAAAAGGGTTCCCTAACTATTACAGATACTAGACAGAAAAAGAAATGACCAAGTCCTGGGACAAGATATTGCCACTATCAGCATGGAGGCTAGGTAACAGCTGGAAAACATCTGCTAGATCTAAGAAGCCTGAATATTTTATAGTGAAATCATGGGGAAGAAAGGCACAAATTACACTTAACCTACCCTGGCTATTGATAAGAGGGGTGAGGTTACTTCAAACAAGCTTTAGGAAAGGAAGGCAATCTATAAGAAGCAGTGATTACCCTGGGTGAATCAGGGCTGAAGCAGGACAAAGTAGCATCCAGGGCAGTGGTGGCGAACCTATAGCACATGTGTCACAGCTGGCTGTTCATTATCATTGAAAGCTCTAAAAGGTTCACTATCACTGATCTAGGGAGTCAAAACACGTATTTGAGAATGTAAAAACAGTCTTTTGTTCTTTTTGGCCTGTAGTTTGTTGCTGATTAATCTCTCCCCATCTCTCTTTCCTTCTACCCCTTGGTTCTTTGTGACTAAATGTAGGACATTTCAGAATTTTTCTCTTATCAATCTGTATTCATGGTCTAGGCTCTTTCCACTCAACCATGATGCTTCCCACACCACAGTGCCTGAGGTGGCACTCACCTCAGTTTATGTGTGGGAGGATCACATGAGATAATTTTTGTAAAAGTGCTCTGTAAGCTGTAAAGCACCATACAGATGAAGCGGATTATTATTAGTCTTTTATGAAACCCAGCATAAAGATGCAAAAGGACCCAGAAAATAAAAACAAGATAGGCAAACCTGAAAGATAACATCTACAGAGCCTAGCACATGTCCCCACATACATAGTAGTAGTTGCTTAGGAAGTACTAAGTAAAGAAAAACACAAAACTGGTTTGTCCTTCCACCACATAACATCTGATACCAACAATAAAGAAAGGTACCCTAAGTCAAGGATGGTTTCATTTAATCACACCAACTAAAATGCCCCCAAACCCTAAAATCTTAAAAGGAAAGAGCACTAAAATATAAAATGTGACTTCAAATCTGCAATGAAACAGTTATCTCCTTACCTTTTCTGTCTTTCAAATGCAGCCGTGTAGAAATAGAACCTAGGGGACGTTGCTTAAGTGTTTCCTGGATCTGGGATCTGTATATCTAAGTAAAGAAAAACACAAAACTGGTTTGTCCTTCCACCACATAACATCTGATACCAACAATAAAGAAAGGTACCCTAAGTCAAGGATGGTTTCATTTAATCACACCAACTAAAATGCCCCCAAACCCTAAAATCTTAAAAGGAAAGAGCACTAAAATATAAAATGTGACTTCAAATCTGCAATGAAACAGTTATCTCCTTACCTTTTCTGTCTTTCAAATGCAGCCGTGTAGAAATAGAACCTAGGGGACGTTGCTTAAGTGTTTCCTGGATCTGGTAGATCTGTATAATTGCCCTAGTAACCTGTAGAGGAAATAACAAGTTCTATAGAATTTTGGGCACCTGAACTCTCTGCTTTGGATCTGGAAGGCTGATTTTTACTGACAATTCTGATTTTAAGCCAAACCAGATTCATCCCCTAACCCAGTGATGGTGAGCCTCTTAGAGACCAAGTGCCCAAATTGCAACCTAAATCCCACTTATTTATCACAGAGTGCCAACACTGCATTAAACTTGGATACTAAGGTCTTCATTAAAAAAAAAACATACGCTTGGCTCGTGTGCCTACGAAGAAGGCTCTGTGTGCCTGCTGTGGTATGCCATTGGTTGGCCATCCGTGCCCTAACCTCTCTCCCCCAAACACAAACAGGAAAGGAGAAGCAGGGGTGGGGGAGGCAGGAAAAGTTATTTATTGGAAAAAACTTTGTTTCCTAGAATATATACAGTATGATTTAAATTTAAATATTTAAATTACATCCTATGCAACTTTTAACATAGACAGTTATTTGAAAAATGAGCTGGACCCATAATGGAAATACCAAATTTAAAAGCTTCAAGGAGAAAAATGTTTCCTTCTGGGTGGGCCTTAATTGCCTTCTTTATCCCCTACTGCAAATATATTTTTACGCTGGGTAACATTTCCAAAACAGGAGTGTTTTTTCTGCTGTCGAAACAAACTAATTTGCTTTCAAAGCCACAGAAATGCCCAACTGTTATAAAAAATGTTTTTCTCTGGCCCCTTGCCTGTCTTATCCCCCTATAGCTTTGCCCATTGGCCCCTTTCACTAGGAGGGCCCCTGGGGCCGTCTGGTGGAACTCATTGTAAAACTATTTTGTGCAGTAAGAGTTAGTTTCATCAACATCTCATAGACCACCTACAACACGCCAGGTCTTGGCAAATGTCTACTGGTTTCCCCAATATTTGATAAACTGTACCCTGAGTAACTGACCCAGGCTTCTGGGTTTCCCTTTGAGAACTGATGAGGGTAGAGATGTCTTTTTTCTTTCTTTCTCTCCCTTCCTTCCTTCCTTTCTGATCAAGAGAGGATGAAAACCTCTCACCAAAAATCTATGCAAAATTCATTTTGCGCTTTTGTTTTCAGAAGGGGTAGGACAAGAGAATTAGACAAACTAGACGGTCCAACATTTACAGTAGCATTTTAAGGGTGCACAGAGAGAAAGTATTTGTTAGAAGCACCCTTGAAAGCCTGACCCTTGGCCGGCCATTAGCCCCAAGCCCTCCCAGTGTGGGATACACCTCCTGTACGCAGAGTTGTGGTTCAAATCTCGGGAGCAAGGTGAACTAAGGCCAAAGGAGTCAGAAGCTCCTGGAGAACAGGCCATAGTTTTGCCTCAGCCTATGTTCTCTCTTCATGGCCTTTTCTCTTACATACTAGGTGCTCAACAAATGCGGACCCAGGACGCAAAACACTCAAACTGCCCTCTGAGCCCGAGGCGAAGTATGGGGTGCGGATGTTGATTCCGACCCACCATCTCCTCTCACTTGCTAAGGTAACCCGGCCTCGGCCGGTGA